ATGTAGTTACAGGACAAGGTGGAATGGCTTTAAAACGAAAAGGGTATATTTAGATTAGGTATTAGGAAGACGTCCTTTACTGTGAGGGTGGTGAGACACTGGAACAGGACTCATGAGTTAATCAAAAGAATGTCTCAAGTGAGGAAAGCTGTCTTTCGTAATTAAAATTAAAACACCCCACAAAACCAACAAACCTAGTTCAGTACTATATTTTACAGTTCTACAGGAAAAGCTTTGTATTTCAAACATTGTGTATGAAAAAGTCCTTAAAAATCTAAGGTGGTGGCAGTTAGAGATTTTGAGGGTCAAAATCTTATTTTTGTGTGCAATCTGGTGAAAAATCTTGCATGGATTAACTTTCTCTTGCACACAGAGCCTTAAAACGGGAAGCAATAAAATTCAGCCCCAATCCCTCCACCAGAACCATTTAGGTGGCACAGTCATGAAGCCATCTGGACACAGTTCTGGGCAACCTGTTCTAGGTGACCCTGCTTCAGCATGGAGGTTGGACCAGATGATCTCCAGTGGTCCCTTTCAACCTCAGCCACTGTGTGATTCTGTGAGCATAGCTTTAATATTCATTCAAATGTAAAAAACAAACTTCCACAAGCTCATTAAAATGTAGGACAAATGACTTAGCTGGAAGCAGAAATAGAGAGCTGAAAATGCACTCAAAGAGCAGTGTTTGGATCACCTTCATCCTAGTATTCTGAAAGAATGGGCACAGGCATGAGATCAAAGATGCAGTAGAAAGGATTTTTAATACATCTATTAACTCAGACGTGGGAAAAGGCAAAAATAGCACCTATATTTACAAGGAGAAAAAAACCTCAACTCTATCAGGAATATGTCAGGCCTATGAATCTGGTCAAGAGCAGCACGCTACTGAGAATAATTATGCGTTCTTGCAAAATTCAAACACAAAAGAGAAAACAGATGATCATCATAATAGAAGATACCACATAGGTTCATCACAGATAGAGTGTGCCAAACTCACTTGACATCTTTCTTTGACAAGGCAGCTGATTTTTCCAGATAAAGGAAATGCAGGAAGTTTTATATGGACTTTTGGTACTGTGCCATATGGGGTATGGTCTTTTGATACTGTGCCATACCAGTTAAGGCGAAAAAGATGGGAAAGGAACCAAATATGTAGATGGCAGAGATAATAGTGGGTTATGCTGAACGGAAAGCTATCAGATCAGAAGGTTACTAATGGAGTACTAAAAGAATGAGTCTTTGGTCAAAGCTTTTGTATTTTCCTTAATTAACCTTTTACCAAAAAAGCATGCTAATGAAATTTCTCAGTAGCACCAAGTAACACAAAGAAAAAGATTGAAACATCATACAAAAAGAACTGGATGACCTTGAGTATCTACTGATAATGGCATGTAATTTAACAGCAAACAGCAGCAAGACTTTACAGAGGGACTAATAAAAACAAACTATTTAGTATTTCCCTATATTAAATATTGAAAAAAACTGAATATTAAGGATATTAAAAAAGGATATTAAAAAAATCCCACAGATTTAAAAAAAGTAACATGGAAACTTTGATAAAAATAGACATGAGTGGTTACCCTATCGCATTACAACCCAGTCAAACAATACGAAGACTTGAAAAAGTTGTTTGTAGGCCTAGGATACAAGAAACAAAGTATTCCCAGCAGAAGCATGTGAAAATAGTTGTACAAGATCTCAGCAAGAATGCAGAGTACCATGCTCCAAGTTCAGGTACCGAAAGATGAACTCAAACTGAAGCAGATGCAAAAACTCCTCCAAACCCAAGCACACAAAAAAACCCAAACAAAACTGAAAAACAGGAAAATCTGTTTTGTGAAAAGAAGCTAAAATATATTGGATTATTCAGGTTAGCAAAATCCTTAGCCAGGATAAGATTGTTTTCTATGAATATATTAGTAGATGTAAATTCTAGAGAAATGTAACTATATATTCTAACAGGCAGTATTATCAGAAGTGCACATGGTATGAAGTGGCCATAAATAAATTTCAAGTCAGAAGCCAGATGGCAGTTATTAACTATCAGAGCAACGAAGTTCTGACACAGTCCCCCCAGTGGAATAATGATGCAGAAATTTAGACAGTTTCAACAAGGATCTTATTTAATTTATACATAAAAAAATTAAAATAAGGAGATGTCATTGTCCGAACAACAAAAACCTCACAGAATTCCAGCTTCAAAATACACAAAACACTGCAATTTTCTGGGGACTCTGAGGACTCTGGGGCACACTGTAACTGCAGTGCACCCCACACTAACTACAGCGTTTTGACTTCTAGCTCATTTTGTAAAAAACTAATTTCAAGTAACTTAACATCAAATTTCCTATCTCATGATCTCCCTTAATAAATTAAGGCAGACATTAAATATAGAATGTCATTCATCGCTCCTCATGTTTTAGTACAATCTACACCACAACTGTTTAATTTGACATGATGCTGACAGACAAGCCCAAGCCAAGCACATCAGGGGCACTTCCGCGTTGCCTGGGTTCTGTCTCCCCCCCAACATTTGTAGCATTTTAAATGCAAGAACAACTGGTTGTAACAAACGCAGGAACTGAAGCGCTAAGGACTACACAGCTGGTGAATGAAAATGGCTGGCTGCTGTAATAATTCAGTTATAAACTGGGTGGAGCATGGCAGCACCTATTGGATAAATTGCCCATTATTGGATAAATTGCCCATTATTCAATCACAGTGATCTGCAATGGCTCTTGAACTGGATGGAAAACACTGCCTTCCCAGGGCAGCGATGCCATGTTTGTGCAACCCTTCCTTCAGAGATACATTAATGTGAAAGATACTTTGATAGTGAGAAAAATGATCAGTCTTTGGAAGATCATAAATACCTATCAGTGGGCCATCATCTTTTTGATGCTTCAAAATCTGTTATGTGGGCAGGTGTCACTGACGTATTTAGGGCCTGTTGGACAGAGCTCTGACCTGCAAAACGTGCAGAAAATATCCCTGGGGATAACCGTGCTGTGGAACAGGTGAAACTTACCCCATTTGATCTTTTCCCTCTCCTACCCATTCTGTTGGACATGAAAAACATAAAGGACCACTTCTTTCCTGATTATGCACTTGCCAGCACAACACTACTGCTTATAGTATTGACTGATATCTTCTTCACAAGAGCTCCAAAAGCACAGAGGACAGCTGTTCACAGTAATCTAGGTCTACATGTAGATGGCTTCCTTTCAACAGTGACTGCTGAAGAACACGTGACGTGACCTGCTAAGGTGCAGAAAAAATGTAGTTGCTTACCAGAAACCACAAATAATTAAGGGGGAGAATCTGGGGCCCAAGAAAAAAAAACAACCACAAACCAGTAATTAAAAAACAAACGTGGTAGCATTAACTATCAAAATATTTTTCATCTCCTTCCTAATTCCCATCTCTGGCTCACTTGTGTGGAGTACATTCATAATTCTCTACGGAACCTTCATTTTATAATAGCATGAACCCTGCTGAGCATTAGTTGTACCCTAATATATGAAATATACATTACATATGCATACTTGATACAGTAATGTATCAGAGAGCCTTTACTAGCAATGGAAATCCATTCCGAAAACACAAAGTGAAGTTCACATGCGCATGCAGGGAGATATTCTGATCCCTATACAGCAGAACGTTTTCCATCAAAAGAGAAACTGCTGCATGAACTGTGGAACTGTAGAATAAATATCAGTTTTACTGAAGAAGGAAATCCAGAGGGCAGGCATTATAACTGTGAAATAAATTCTCACCATGGATTTATGCCATTAAAGGAAGCAATTTAACATAGCAGTAATATGAAGAACAAATTTTATTGTTAGGATTCAAGGCTGCTTGTGTATGAACACTATCTTTATGATACAGACCATAGCCCAGTACTTACCACAGCTAATAAAAAATCATTCCTTATGTAAGGAGCTTTTCCTTCCTGGTAAAAATGCAAAGCTTATTACTGTCATAATAATTAATTTTAAAGACAGTATTTCTCTATAGCCGCTTTCTCTGTACACCTGTGAAATCAGGCGTGCCCTCCATGAAGATGAAATTACACCTACTGCTGCAAACTGGTCTACTTTTGTTACCCAACTGCAACAGCCTAAGTATTTAGCAACTGTGTAAATAAGACCAAGATGATCCTGTAGCCCCATTATCTAAAAAGGCATGCAGTGTAATAGGAAAAGTTTTATGCAAACCCTGTAAACAATACAAATGCTCGGAAAGTGTCCCTGCCCATGGATGGAATTAGATGATCTTAAGGTCCTTTCCAACCCTAACCATTCCATGATTCTAAGATTAAGTGGTTTCAGTACTTACTACACAGGTGAGTGCATGCCGAAATGTACCTTTTACGTGTATTACACAGATTTAGGAGCTGGGTTTATTAGCTACACAGCGGATTCACCACCCTAGTCCCTGACCCCGCAGCTCAGTGTCACTGCAGAGGGAAGTCCCACCTCGCCGGCACCCCGGCCGGCCGTGCGCCCCTCCTCAGCCCATAACGGTCCCCGAACGGTCCCCAAAGGCCAGCGCAGGCGGCTCGGGGGGACACCCGCCGACACTGGTCTCCCGAGATCTCTCGCCGAGGTCGCCAGGCCGGCAACGCCAAACGCGGGAGCAGGCAGCCTCGGCGGCAGCCGCACAAAGGATCGCCCCTTCCCCAGCTGCGCGCTCCCCGGCCCGGCTCCCTCTCCCGCCAGCGGCCTGGGCGGAGGGGCGCGCCTCCGGCCCCGAGGATGCTTTGGAGCGCGGGACACTCCGCGCCGTCCCGCCTGTCACGGCGAGCACCGCCCCGACTTGCCGGTCCCGCTTCCGCGCCCGCGGCAGGTGCTGTCCCGGCCGGGCCCCACGCCCGCCTCACGCCCAACGGCAACCTCGGTCAGCCCGGCACACACCGCCCCCGGGGACCGCGGCGCAACGCCCCGGCGAGGGGCGGAGAGACAGGGGCCCAACCCGCCCCGGGTGGCCCCCGCGCCCACCTCAAACACCACTTCTTCGTCAAACTCCGGTGTCATCCTTCTCCGCCATGCCACCCCCTGTGGGCACTCTGGGAAACAGAGTCCGCCGCGCCGCTGGCAGCCCCTCCCCGCCCAACCCGGCCCTGCCTGGCTCCGGGGGGAACTACAGCCCCCAGGAGGCACCGCGAGACCCGCTTCCGGGGGACCAGGGGGCGGGAGGGGGACCGGGGGCGGTGCGGTTCTCGGGGCGGGCCCGGCAGGGGGCGCCGCTGTGCGGCGGCGGCGGCGGGTTTGTCGGCGGGAGCTGCTGGCGCTCACTGTGCCGGCAGCCGCGGGGCGGTATGCGGCAGCGGGCGGGCGGTGCTGCTGCTGTGGCTGGGTGGCGGCGCGGGGGAACAATGGGATCCTTCTCCTCAGCCCTCAGAGGGGCCGTGGCGTAAGGGACGAGGGGGAGGCCGGCGCTGCGCTTGGGGACTACCATGAGCTCCGCCGGTGAGTGTCCGGGGAAAGTTTGGGGAGCGGCGGTTCCCTTCCGCCCGGCCGGCCAGGAGCTTCTCTTCCCCCCGTAGCGGCCAGCGGGCCCCGGCGCCGCGGCGGTGGGGAGCGGAATGAGAGAGGTGCCGTCGCTGCCCTCCTTGTCCCGGCAGCGCCGACCGGTTGCGCCCGGCTCCCCTCAACACCGCTGCGGCGGGGCCGGGAGCTGCTTTCCCCATCGCCCAGGAGGAAACGCGGGAAGGCGGACCGAGCGCACCCTGCTGCCGGCCCGCCGGGCACCACTACCTCGGGGTCCGCTACGGGAGCTCCGTTCCCCTCTTCTCCCCGGGGCATTCGGCCTCGGGGCTGTGCAGGTTCCCCGCGCACACGGACGGCTCCCTTCGGTCTCGCCTGTCCGGCGGCGGAGCGAACGGGTTGCTTCGCATGGGGCTGAGGCAGCGACGGAGCGTCCGCCGGGCCGGTGCTGGGGTTCGGGGTTATCGCTCCGTCTGACTTCGCGGCGCTGCCAAAGCTTGTCAGCGTCGAAGCTCCGGCTTTGCTTCCAGTTATACCTGCCTCGGTCAGGCTGATAACCGGCTTGAGCCCTCTCGCGGGGACGGGGATACCGGAGAGCGTTCCCTCTTGGGCTTGCCAGCTGCTGGTTTGAAGTGACCTACTTCAGTGCTTTCCTTACCTTTCATCCCCCGTCTTCTGTCCGCTGCCGGATTTTACGGCTAAAAGAGCTGCAAGGCAGACTCTTCTTCTAGAACAAGAGCTCCTCGTGTTTGAGGGAGTTGCTCATAGTTTTTGTTTATTTGGCAGCACGGTGGTGTGCTGTTAGTACCCCATCTGTTAGATGAGTAGATTCCTTTCTCAGTCTTCTTAAAAGTAAGAATAGTCTTTTCCGCATTGAAAAGGTGTCATGTGTAAGTTATGATGTATCGTGTGGAAACACAACAAATTACAGTGTAAACCTGAAGCAGCGAAGTGCTTCCTGTAAGGGTTGGGGTGAGGGGTGTTCTAAAGAAAAAGGCAGTACACTGACCTCAAGCAAAACCATCAACCTTATTCTCACTGTTTTACTCTCAAATATGTCAGTTACTTGAGTTCGGCACTGAAGGCATCCCTGCCCATGGCAGGGGTGGTTGGCACTAAATTATCTTTAAGGTCCCTTCCAACCCAAGCTGTATTGTGATTAAGTTATCTGATCTTTCTTAGCTAATATGAATTCACTGGACAATAAAAAGCTGTTTAATGCATCTTTCTGCTTAATTTAATAGGCTTCCATTTTTGATACATATGACGGAACTGATTTTGTTCAGATCTCGAAAAGCATGCAATAAAGTGGGGTATCATCTCTGCTTAATATCTGCCTTGTATGTTTGCAGCATGTGCTGATACTGCAACCCACCCCATATCTTTTAAGAGTTAAACAGCTGTGCAAATAAAAGATAAATGTTAGGGGGTGCTCAAGAGCTTAGAGCTGGGCTGTTAAAATCTGTTACAGTACGAAGTTGCAGAGTTGGGTAGATTTTTAGCACTAAACGGTGATTTTGGCACTTCCAGAGATGAGGTTGAATAATTGAGTCTCTTTGTTTAGTTTACGTTATGATGGTGTTTCAGGGGAAGGTGAGGAGGAAAGTGGTTCTAGTGAACCAAGTCACTTAGTGAGCAAAAGAGAAAGGGGTGCAGAGGAGTATCAATAAGAAGCGGGATAGTTTCATGGAAAATGTGAAATTCAGTTCAGGGATTTGATGTGGAAGACACTGAGTCCTGGTGGGCAGGAAGAGAGAAGCTGACAGCTATGTGAAGGCTGTTGAAGAAGGGATGAAGAGTATTTTGTGGCTGATGGATTATATGAGGATAAAACAATTGTATGTGGAACAGGTGAAACAAGCAGAACACTCGCTGGGTCTGCCCCGCTGGTACCCGGTCCCAGTGAAAGCAGGGAAGGTTTTAGGACTGGGTGACCACAAGTACAGTCGAACTGCAAGAAAACACTAAGCTATTTCAGTATTTTAGCATCTTTTTCATTTTAGTTTTCATTTTAGCATCTATTGACAGGACTAAGGGGGTATGGTTTTAAACTGAAAGAGGTAGATTTAGATTAGATATAAGGAAGAAGTTCTTCACTGGGAGAGTGCTGAGGCACTGGAACAGATCGTCCAGAGAAGCTGTGGCTGCCCTCTCCCTGGCAGTGTTCAAGGCCAGGTTGGATGCGGCTCTGAGCAACCTGTTCTAGTGGAAATTGTGCCTGTGGCAGGGGGGGTTGGAACTGGGTGATCTGTAAAGTCTCTTCTAAATCTAACCATTTTGTGATTCAGTGATTCATGATCCTGCTGACAGTGTCATGACAATTTTTGACTTTCTGGTTAAAGAGCTCCTAGGCAGGATATGGAATGATTGAGGACTGCCAGAAGACAGTTCTGAAAGTTTAATATCTATCTCTTTGTATTGCTGCAGAATTTAGCTCCTGAAATATACAGACATTCTTTATAAAGCTATTGCTCACACAGAAACTTACCAATTCCTAAATTTTAATTTCGGCCCTGTGATATGTAGGATCTATTTCCTACACTGAAATTATTTCATTGTGAGTTCAGTTATTCCTTGTTTGTGCTGCATAAGCTAGCTTTCTGACAACTGATTACAACACAGCATTTCAGTAAAAATCTTATCATCACATGTAAGGGCTTCAGATGGAACTTGAAATGCCTGGAAATCCTTCTGCTCTTCCTTCAGGTTAACTTGAAGGGCATGAGTGTCTCTCGTGTCTTCTTTTAATGTACCTTTAAAACATTTTATGTACCTTTGAAAAAAAAACCAACAAACCATCCTTGTACAGCATCATCTGCATTGATTTAACATTTTTAAGTAGGATTAGCAGGTAGGAGTGACTTCAGCTTGATAATGCAGGACTCTGTAAGAGATACTGTACTGCTTGTACACGTATTCTCTTCATGGGCTGATGTGAAAGGTCCAGCATTGATGGCTTGGCCTTGACTCTGTTCCAGCTTGCCTTCTGCCTTTCTAAGTAATGCAGTGCATATTCAGTTTCTTGCCATATATATTTTCTCTAGTTCCTCTACAAAATAATTTCAGTTACATCTCAGTCCAGAGCTGGATGTAATTCAGTGATAGGTGAAAGAGTTCTGCTGTAACTGTTGCTTGCAGATTTGAAGATGTGTATGTATATCTGGCCTTGTTAGAACTAAAGAACTGTAGCACTTATTTTAAGTACTTCTAGGTAATTAAAAAATTATCTTATTGTAGTGATCAACCTGTATGCTGGTTTTAACCTACATTTATAGCTGTTCTTCTCTCGCTGCTTTCTCATGCATATTCTTTATATACAATGCTGATGAATGTGCATTTACTCATTTTCTGCCTGGAACTATTGTGCTGTCTTCAAGTATGTGCTTTGCCTTTAAAAGGGAAAAACAAAAGCTCAGAGTTATGAGTTTGACATTTAGTATTTCTTGCTGAAGAAACAGTCCTTATATGTGAATCTATACGGCTTATTTAATGTGGGCAGAATGTATAGCTTAGGCTTGAAATCTGATTTGACAGCAACGAGGAACGTAGTGTATTTTAATGTCAAAAGTGTAATTCAAAGTGGGGGGAAAAACATAGCAGGAATAGAATAAACAAAATCAACATGACTTTTACAATCAAACTTCATTGCTTTCAAGGATTCAAAAAATGAGACCTACAGGGTTTAATGTCCCTTTAACCCTCTAACATGTCAACTCTTATTAGAGTTACTTGTCTCTGTCTCTGCATGCAATCTTACATGGTTGTTTATTCATTTCCTTTCCTTACTCTAAAGTTATCCCCAACTTTCCTGTTTTATTTCAACAAGTCATTGAACAACCTGGGATTTTGAAATTAATGTTTTCCTTTTGCAGTTTATTTAGGATGTTTTCTAAAACTGTAGTGGCTTGGAAACCATCGTTTTCCCTTACAGTTTAAAATCTGCATGTTATCTTCCGGGATGTCATGACTCATTCCTTTTTTTGTTTTCTTTTGAGTATTGTGACACCTGAGAAAATCAGAGCCTCTGCATAATGAGAAAATAAATACACATTGTCAGGAAATAAATTAATGATGTCAGAATACTTTTCTGAGGTGTTTATACCTAATGAAACTTACTTTCTGTAACTGAAAGCAAAGTGAACTGAAAAGTCTTTTTGTGAATCATTAAAACTTAAGTTGCTGGGGAATGGGAGTTTTAAAATACTTCAGCTGTTTCTCCGTGAAGTGTATGAATATTAACTGCCATCACAATAATCACTGAGCCTATCCCAAGCATATAGCAATAAGTATTTCTCTTCCTACATGCTCTTTAAAAGCCAGATTGTCTTTCTTGTTTTATGTCTGGTGAGTTGTAGTGTTTTAAGCCAAAAGTAGTCTCAGGAACAGTAAATTAGCTATTGGAGTGAGTTCTTTCTTCACTTAAGAAGGAACAGCACATGGATCCCTACCTTCTGGGCATCACATTATTTTTGCATATAGCCTACAGATGTGGTTTCCTAACTCTGAGAATACAGTATGCATATGTAAATAAGGTGCCATGAGAAAGCCAGTATGTACATTTGCACTAGGCCAGTTATTAAGCAGTAACTATTTCAAGCTCTTTTCCTTTCCCAGTACATGTTCAATAAATTTCACTCATAGGTGAAAAGGAATAAACCTTGTATACACTATAGTAAGAAAGAGTATACGTATGGCCAGCTTATACTAAGTAGCTGATTTGTTAAATTCACACCTTGGCTTACCCCATAGTAACTTCATTGTGTACCCATACCTTAAGTTTAGGTCTAGCTGCTGTCAACATTTTATGTCACAGTGATTAATTGCTTACTGTCTTCCTTCCATTTTGTGGTTAAGAAAGGATATTGCTTTAGGGTGGATTGCAGGATCCTGCCATGGGGATACCTCTTGGATGGCTAGACACAGTCCCACTGGGGACTCTGAATACCTGGAGAGAGGCCTTTGTTCGTGCAGAGCATTGGAAGGACATGAATATCAAGTTATGTTTGCACTTGCAGCGTTTGGAACTATTTGTCCCTATTTCTTGAATAGATGCAGGTAAACATAACCTGTTCTTTTGCTGTTCCCAAGTGTAGAGGTTGTTAACAGAATTTCAAAAGTGTGGGCATAAGGATAACCTGGGAAAATGTTCCTTTAGCAACAGTAGTTTTATTTTTTTTTTTGCAGAAGGGATAGTGCTATTTGATTATTTTTTACTTCAACTTAATATATCTTTTTTTTCTCCCCGTTCCTTGCTGGGCAGGCAAGATAACAAGGTAAAAATTTGAGAAGATTTAAAGCTGTGTAATAGTAGTGCTTAAGTCTGCTCTGTCTTACTGGCTGTCCTGCTCATTCATGATATTGCATAGGAAAAGACACAAAAGCAATTTTAAATGAGGTCCTCAGTTGCCAAATCCTACCATCTGAAGAAATGGGCTCTTAGAGGCCAAAATATTGAGAGCAGAAATTGCCCCAGGGTGTTCTCATCCTCCTCTAAACCAACTTGAAGGTAGGATAGGAGCATGTGCTAGTCGAGCAATAATGAGTGTTGGCTGCAAAGGAGCTCAGCAGGATGAGAATGGGTGTTGCTTTTTCTTCAGCACACTGCAGGTGATAATTCACCAGAGGGACAAATGTGTGTTCTCTGTGGCGTGACCTGAAGTAGGAAAGAGCAGCACATGCATTCATCTGCATAGGTGGTGCTAATGGCTATTTATTGTTAGAAAAATAGTTCTCTTTTTAATCTACTTTTCTAAAGGGTATTTATTGGGTTTGCTGGTTTTGAGCATTTTTTTTTCTTCAGCATTGAACACAGTGTTGGCTGTTCCAGATGAGCAGTATATTTCCTGTTGGTGATGGCAGCTTTGTTAGTCACTTTATTTATGGATTTCTTCCTTTGTCTAGTCAAGCAAACCAGAGGATATCTGGCTGCTTCTCTGTCTCCTAATCATTTGATCTGTTTATGCAAATAAAAATTTGACTTTCTGCTCTTACGTTTCGGTTCATTACTAGTAACCCATGATGCAGGAATCCTCTTTGAGAAATGGGGTAAGATTGGGGGGGGGAGCAGGGGTAACTGTTGTGATTCTCTGTTCTATTCTCCTGAGTAAGACAAGATAGAAAATAACAATATTCAAATCACAATGTCCTCTGAAACTTCTACACATCTCAGAAAGTGAGTTTAGGTTAACCCTAAGTGCTGGTGACTACCACAACCCTAGGTGAGATGTTGCTGTAGGTAATTATCCTTCGAGTTTAATAAGAATTTTAAAGCTTTGTTACAAGCTTGAACTTGTCAGACTTCAGTGGTCAGCTGTGGGATTTCATCCTGTCTTTTTTCCATGTTAAAGAGCCGTTACCAAAAATCTTTCACATGTGCAGAAATATATATACTATTACCATCTCTCTTCTCAACTTCTTGGTTAAATCAGGCAGGATGAGCTTGCTTGGGATTCAAGGCATGATTTTTTAGACCTTGGATACTTCATATTCCTTGCATTCATGCCAAGTTTTCGCCTAATAATGCCAGAAGGTGACGTAGCATGTCACTAACAGTCTGGCAGGTGCTGTGTACAGAAATATTTTCAGCTCCCTTCATCTTTTGATATTTATCTCCTTTTAATTCAGAGGATTATTTACCACTTACCTGCAGACTTGCACAGGGCTCTCATAAAATAACTATCTGCAATGATTTCCAAATTCTGTTAGGTTTTTACTTTTCCTAAGCATAGCCAACCATCTCTATTCATAGGTAAACAGTTCCATGTGGCACCAGGAAAAAGCCCATTGTTCAAATGACTCGGAACTCCTTGCTTTGGTTGTATAACATTTCTTTGATTATATTTATTGTTTTTCACCAAAGAGGTTTGCTTATGCTTGTCATTTAACAAAAAGTAATTCTCATATGACTTCCAGTCATTCCTTACACCTTTATATATAACAGTTGCCTCCTCCTTAGTTTTCTTTCTGTGCAGGATGGGAAATTTTCCCTTTTAAAGCACTGTGTATGTAGAACTGGTTTTTAACCACACACGGTGAATGAAATGATTTTATAATCAACTGAACTTTAATTCTTGATTTCTAATAGAAATCTAATATACTTTCACCCTTGCCTAGCTGCTCTGACTTTTTTCTAACAAGTTCATCACATGTATTTTTCAGAAACTTAAGGGTATTTTGTTGAGGAAAACTGCTGGTATGCATTCCTTTCCTGGAGTCTTTCCTCTCACGTCATATTTATGTTTGAAAGGGCTCTTCATCACATTCCTTTCTGATTGAGCGGTTGACTGCATATCTGTATTGATACTGTAATGTGCCTGTTAATACATTGACCCATATCTACTCTAGATGAAATGAGCAATTACTTTAAAGCAGACAGTGGTGTCTTTATTATACCATAGAACTTGCTGGTCTCTTCTGTCTTTCCCAATGCTTTTTAACACTGAAGTAATTTGAAAAATTCTAGTAAGCTTCAGAAATCATACTGAATAGCACTTACTAACAGAAGTGAATTTTTCTCACTCTGCTCATTATCCAGGTTTCCACTATTGACACATAAATGACTGGTTTGTTTTCTTTGCATTCCCTTACATTTTCATGTTTTAGTTTTGAATCTGCTATTCAGGTAACGGTATCATATAATAACTTCTTAGTGTCTCCTTAATAAATACTAGTTGAAAGCCCTGCAGTGTAACCTAGTTTGACTGCTGTGCAAAACGTTAGGCAGTCCCACTATAAAGAGATAAACTTCCAAGGTTTATGGGCTTTAGTTTGCAGAGTGGGACAAATAATCCACAGGATATCGCTTGCCTAGCCAGTATTTAATCTCCTGTATCTTCTGCAATCTGTTTCGTTCACTTGGGCATCAGGAAGGATTCCCAGACAGACTGTCTTTCTGCTGTTTTCAGGGAGCTTTAATAACTTGATAAATGTTACTGAACATGGCCCAGTTCTACTACTGTGTTGTGTTCTGTGACAAACTGGGCATCCATTACTTGTTGTTTTGTTTTTTTCTTTTTTGTTTTTTTTTTCACCATAGAAAACAGGCTCCTTTATTACCATTTCTTCATTCTGCAACCGAATGGGCAGTTACCTTGTCTGCAAGTGAATGTATATGCTTCTGCTGTTCAGAATTGGTAGCTGCCCATTCAAAGGGTTAATTTGTTTATTTTTTCTTAGCAGACTATTCACTCTTCACTCTGTGGGAAACCTGTCTTTGGACAGGAAGCAGAAGGTGGTACTGCACCCTCTGCACTAGCTGGTAGGGCTGTGTTGGTGGCTATAGGGAGCTTTGGAAAGAAATTCTGCTTTCACCCTTGCAAAATGTCTTAAAAATTGTCACTGCCACTGGGTTTATCTCTTTGCTAATGTAACTTCAGCAACGACAGCTATTCTAAGTGTAAGTGGGGTCAGTCTGGATACTCTGTAATGATTCATGTCCTAGAAAAACATAGTTTTCCTGTTTCTATAGTAGGGACATTGTTTCTGGCTGTCTGCTTAGAGCAGTGGCTCAGTGTTTGGGAAATGCTTGCAACTGAGGGCATCTGGCTTTTTTTTTTTTTTTTTCTTTTTTAATACCATCTAGGTTTCTTTCAAATAAACAAAAAATCCAAACCAGAAAAAAAAAAATCAAGCCTGAAACTTCATTCTTGTATTTCTAGGCTAGAGATTAGTATACAGTTGCACATATGTAATAATAATCCTGATAAAACAGCCAACCACCAAACCCACAGTTCAAAGGAGGTAATAAATCAATGGTTTACGCAGTCTCCTTGCATGTGAAACATTAATTAGCCTGTTTGCTTGAGAGTTTTATTTAACATGTATAGGACTTCCTGAAAGTATGCCAAAACGTTATTCAAAACAAAGGTAAACCCAGAGGTAGTATGTAAAAAAGACCAACAAAACAAACCAACCTCCCCCCCCCAAAAAAAAAGAAACGAGCAACTTGTTTACTTTGTAAGTCAATTTTCATATGTCAAAAATCACTGAGAGCACTTAGAAATCTGAAATTATTCCAGCGTATGGAAATAATTGGTCATAAACAACATCCTGCAATATAAAAATTTTGAAGGCATACAGAAAAAAATTGCCCACCAAACAAAAACCCCAAACAAACAACACAATCAAAACTCCATAATCTCCTAGTTCCTCATGTGCTCCTTTTCCGGCTGTCCGCTCTTCCCAGGGTTTGTCATCTTGTGCTGTCAAGTGGGTCATAAGTCATAGCAGTGGTGACTGTTTCTAGATCAGATAGTAGCATGTTGGGAAGAGTAATTTTGTAAGATGCACAGAAATAGTATTTTGCTGTAGGAAAGTGCTGACTTGCTACAGATTAGCGCATTAACTTCACACCACAGACTCGTTTCACTGAACTGTGGGTAGTGATGTGCCAGTTTTACAGCTGGTCTGGTAATCCATCTCAATATTGTTGGAAAAGAAGAGGAAGCGAAAGGGGAACTTTAGGTTACACATTTCCAAAGGTGGTAGGGGAAGGTACTGAACTGTCCTGACTGCTACTCTAACATTTCTTTTACCTTCATAGCTTATTATAGAAGAGGCATTTAACATATTTGTGCCATTTGAAAATGCTACTATAATAGTTGAAACTGCAAAACCAGGCTAATCTGCTGGTTTTGTTAGCATAATTTTTAGCATCTAAGCAAGGAAATGCACTCTTCTAAAGTTAAACTGTTTTTTAACGAACAGGTTACCCTTGAAGACTTTTCCTACCGCTCCTTGATTGCGCCTGTTAAAGTCAACAACTAAAAAAGCACTGGCAGGCAGCAGAGGCATGTTTTTAAGAGAAATAGATACACACACACACAGATTTGTAGATCACATGATTTAAATGTTACAAATAACTAATAATACTGTGCTGCAGGTGAAGTTGTTCTGTGGGCTGATGGTGACTAAAATCTTTGTTTTCCATCCTTCCTAGAGATTAAGAAGCCACCAGTGGCCCCCAAACCCAAATTTGTGGTAGGACACAAGGCAACGCCTCCACCTGTTGCACCGAAGCCTGATGTTGTAATTTCTAGTGTTATCCAGGCAGCAAGGAAAACCAAGCCAGCAATTGCACCGAAACCGAAGGTTCTCAAGGCCTCATCTGTTCCAGAAGTTAAACCTCCATCATTTACACGAAAAAGCACAAAAAGCTTTGAGGAGCACAGGGGAGATTCTTCTCAAACACTAGACCACTTGAACTGTAAAAATGAAGCCTCGGAAGGGAATACTGGTAACACAGCATATATTCTGCCAATGTCATCTTGCAAATTTGAATGCCTTCATAAGCTTGGAAACGGGGAGAACACTTGTAAAACTCAGATAATTTTTGAGCACTTTGGAAACTTGGAGAAGATAAAAGATGGTGAAAAAAACGCACTAGCTCTGGGGGACAGTCACAATGAAAATCTGGCAAACAGAAATCAGGTTGTTTTGAAAGCCAGCATTTTGGAAGAGAAACTTAAAGATGTTCTAACTCATAGTATGTTTCCTAACAGCAGTCCTGTGAGGCGCAGGTATGCAGATAAACTTGACAAAGGCAATGGCAGCAGTTCCAAGAATGATTTTAAAATTGAGTTTATGGAACTTGTACAGTCTTCATTGTCTTCTGAAGCAGTTAAAGGGAAGCAACAAAATATTGATGGTAAGCTCACTGCTGATGAGTTTCAGATGTCTGAAATTTGTCCTAGTTTGACTGTAAATAACCACAATTGCTCTTGCCCATTGGACCAAGAAATCCTGGAAAATGAAAATGTAAGTAGCAATGGTATGTTTTCAGGTGAAATAAGTATGAAAGCAGATGCTGATAAAGCCTCCTCTGAAACATCTTCAGTCCTGAGCTCAAAAGTGCTTCCTATCCCTAAGCCAAGAAAGCCACGTGCTGCATGTCTAGTCCGTCAGGATGGCATAGACACCACAGGAGAAGGAACAAAGGAACCATCTAATTCAGAGAAAGATTCCTTTGGGCTTGTGGACCAAAGCTTTAAAAAGCCAGCAAAAATTAATATCCTTGGTCAAAGTGTTTGTTATAACAATAACACAGAAGTGCTTCATCCTGAAAAATCTGAGATAACTGAAGGCAATGCAGACGTAATGCATCAGGTGAAGGCACTTGCAACAGAAGAGTCAACTTCACAGAATCTTTTGCCTCAGTTATCACACAAAACTTCTGATTTGGTGGAAAGTGTTGAATGTTCCTTAAATGCAGACCATAACTTAATTAACTCTATGGATGAGATGACAGATGATACCAGTATGCTAGATGCTGTGGACAAAAGGACTAACTTTGTCAGGTGTGATATTTTATCCATGAGTTTGCCAAAGCAGCTCAAATTAACTAGCAGTCAGCACTTGTCTGCTTCCAATAGCCTCCACGTTTCCCCACAAAAAATGGAAGATAAAGAAGTTAAACTAAAGGATGAAAGTTCTCCAAAAATCGTTCCTAAGAAACCACAGAGGCACAGCCTTCCAGCTGCTGGTGTGCTCAAAAAAGCTGCATCAGCAGAGCTTGTGGAGAAAAGATCTTACAGCTCCAGTGAGAACAAATCGAACGGTGTTTTGGAAGGACCTCATTTCACGCACCCACCAGCCAAGGAGAAAAGTACACTGTCATCCTGTGACATACCCAAACGTCTTTCTGAGAAACCTGTCTGGAAGTTACCTCATCCTATTCTTCCATTTTCAGGAAATTCTGAATCATTAAAAACTGCTAATGTTGCTACCACCTTCAACCACTTGACTGTTGTGACGAAGCCCAGGGCCAAATCTCTCTCTTCTGTGGACATGGAAAGGACAGACAAGCCTTGCAAAGACCATCAGAAGAAGAATAGCTTGAAAAAGTTTCTCAACATGAAACTGTCCGTTTGCTTAATGAAAAGCGACTTCCAAAAATTTCTGTCTAAAGGCAGTCAGTCAATGGATAATGCTGTTGCCAACCTTTCCACTGGGGATGGGTATGGAGGTGGTAACAACCGGAATACAACATCTGTAGGCCATGAAAGGAAAGCTAAATCTACCAAGCTGCCTTCCATAGAAATAAGTAGTCCAGCGTTACAGAAGAAGAGGCAGAGAAACAGAAGTCAACCTGAGATGCGAAATAACCAAAGGCTGGAATCTTTAGATGGGCATATACTTTCAGGAGAGAATTTGTCACAAATAGATTTGAATTCTGTAGCCAGCACTTGTGCTCCAGAGTATGAGAACGTGCGTCACTATGAGGAAATACCCGAGTATGAGAATTTGCCTTTTGCTATGCGTGCTAGGAGAGGTCTCTGTTTTGAATGGCAGAACTCGAGCAGTGTGGAAGACCAGAGCCCTGGCTTCTGTGAAATTGAGGAGCCTTGTGAAGCTACAAGCAGGCATTTGAGACTTGGCAGGTAAAGAGAAAAGAGAAGCTCAAGAGCTCCATTATAATTCTAGCTGTTATAAATGTGATTTGATGAAATGTCAGTAGGACAGCTGCTGCTGTATATCTTTCTATATGTTTTTGCTGGTTTCAAAACTGCATTTGGTAAAGAGTCAAGAGGAAAAGTGGGCTAGTTCTCCCTCGGTATGATTGGAATTTGGGAAGCTAATTACGTGCTTTTCCAGATTTAATAAATGCAGATCAGGCACGATCATTTACTTGTATCTAAGAATACTTAAATGGGGAGGAATGAACCTTACCAGTATGTGAGGACAAAGTTGAATAAGCATCTGTGGAGTGTATGGTTGCTAGGTTTGTAGGGGGAATTAATATATTTTTTCGGTCAGCTGATAGAGCTGGGGAAAGCAGAAATGCTTTTGGGTATGCAAATTCTTCATCAGGTCTTGAAAGCTTTTCAGATACAACGGAAGATACTGCCTCTTCCTGAATATAGTGAGTCTTCTGTATCTTCCTATGCTCCCAGCAAAGGGATAGTGGTGCACAAGTTTTGCATGACTCTCACAGAATATTACTGAAAGATGGGGTTTGGTAGCACTGCAGGTTGCTGCTGTGTTTCATTATCTCAAGAGGTGGTAGAGACAGATAACATCAGCAGATTCAAAAAGGGTTTGGACCAATTCATAAATATGTCCAAACCAGATACTAAATGGAAAAGGCAGGAATGGATATTTTAATATCTCTAATAGTGTGGCTGTGTACGCTGGGAAGAGGAATGGCCCTGAGAGAATGGCAAAACTCGTATGTTCTCCCTAAATAGCATCACTTATTGTGACTGTCAGAATGTGTTAGCAGGTAAAGCATTGTTTTCACCCAGTATGGTATCATTTAACTTCTTCAGCTAATCAGTTGTTCTTACAGATCCTAAAGATTTATCTCAAACCAGCAATAAGGACTTGAATGAAATATGCAGCCTGTATATTTTATAGTTCCCAGCAAACTTCTTTACACTGTTGATAATATATTAATAATGAAAAGAATAAATGAGATAGCTTATGGATAGTCACATTTAACTTAATTTTTCAGTGAGAGTTACAAAGATTAATTTCATTTTGAATGTGTGTAGCATACATATGTTCCAAAGAATCTGAGAGATGACCATTCTTTAGGGTAGCATGTCATCTTATATAGGTGGAGACAAATATTTTAAGTGGTATCCCATGTTAATGATTGTTTAGAGAGTTGATAATATGAAGCCTTATAATGGGAAGTAGGATTTCTGGTTATGGGCTTGGTACTGGTGTATTTATTCATGTGGCTGTTGAGTGTGCTTCTTGTTTACAGTTGGATGTTTCATGGTTTTGTCTTTGGTATACTCTAAGTTCCTGACTAAGTGTATGCTTTTTGTTTAAATCTAATCTTTGGGTATTTTTCAGGCATTTTGACTATGGTCTTGTTGGTATTCCCTTGATTTGGTTTACCTGAGAGACCAAACTTAAATAAGGATATATTTTATATGTTTATGCAGTTTGTGTTGTGGTTCAGGATCTAGGTGAATGTGTCTGCTTTAGGCATAGTAAAGGATAATTTTGCTGTATGAAGCATGGTAGACATGAGACTGCAGCTGCTCCTTGAGTGAAATTTTACAGTTTTCTTAACTGGCTGAGTGTGGGAGATAAGTAATTCTTCCCTTTTCACACAAACCTTCCTTAGTACCACCGGTGATTAAAGGGATATGAGTGATCTCTTGTGTCCTGACACCTGTAGCTGCTCCCTAAGCTCACTGTTCTTGGCATAACTGGGTTTGTGTTGTGTTTTTCTTTAAAAAGCACACAGAAAACCATAACCAAAGCCCTTTATACAAGTGGTTGTTTTAATCTAAATTACATAGTCAGAAACTCCCTTAGGAAACAGATTAATGCTTGCAGTTACTTCAGTAGATCTTGGGGTACAAAGAAATCCCCAGGAAAAAAAGGGGACACGATACAGCAGAGGTCTTCTGACCTGGATCAGATGCTACCAGGAAGAGCAGGTACAGGTATTCCTTTTGGTTCTGGCCTGGGAGGTGTAAGGGCCCTTGCCCAGACAGAGCCAGCCAGGCAGCTCCTCCAGTTTTCCCATACCTTGTTATCTCAAATCCTTTGAACCTTTTTTATCAGTGTCATCTTACCTTTTCTGCATAGTTCTTTGGGAGCCTTTTATAATTTCCTGGGCCAGGTAGTATTATAAAACCAGTTAGAGAAACAGTGCTGATGTCATTGAAATAATCACTGCCGTGTTTTTCCCAGCCTGTCAGAACACGCGCTTAACTTTTCCATAGGTCTTGGCACATAGAACTCCTGTAATGCACTGCTAATGGGGATCTCAAAGCAAATTATCTTACAATGAAAGCCAGTGTACAAATGAGATTGTTCTTCTGAGAAATTCGTAGATGGATTGCCTATGCTTCTCGTCATAATAGCACATAGACAGTATATTAAGTTTGAATGCTAGGCTTGCCATTACCAGAAGAGTTTGATGGTGTCTTTACTACGCAATATTATATCTCTTTCTGGAGGAAGAGATGAAATTTTCATAATATACACACTGCTTTAGTGGTTACTGAGAAATTTCCTCCTGATCCCCTCTGGTGGATGCTTTAGTGGAGAATAGTAATAGTTTCTGACAGTCTTACCTGAACTTCATGTGTCTTATTAAATTCAGGTACCTTTCATTGCTTAGGCCTCCCCACAGGGATTTAAATGCAAATGATGAGCCTGGATTATTAATGGTGGGTATCAGTTGTTGCTCACCACTTGATTTTTGAGTTACTTCACGTCAGCCTTTAAACTAAAAGTACAATTGAGTGTATATTTGTCCGGTAATCTAAAGATGCAAAGGAACAATGAATGTGCCTTGGAACATCTGTCATGCTGCAGAAAACAGAAAGTTAAACTTTTCCGGATCTTGCGGGCTTCCTGTTGGTATTTGTAATGTTGTTCTAGGCAACACAATTGCACTTCAGATGGAGTAAGTCTGCTCCTTCACCCTTCAGGAAACAGCATACTGTATTTACTGGGTACTTTTGACAGTGTTCCTTCAAGATGGTGTAAACGTACATGACTGCTAATTGATTATGACAAAATCTGTAGCTGTGTTGTGTTTCCAGCTAGGATCTTTCTTTGGAAAGGGCTTGTGGGTGGGTGGGGGGGTGTGTGTCATGTGACAATAATCCCTTGAAATCTTAATGCTGGTTTAATTAAATACTGCTTCCTATTTGTCCCACCCCTGCTGATTTACAATAATCTATTGGTTTTCCAGAAATGAGCATCTCAGTGCAAAACGTAAGTTTAGTTTTCTGGACTAAATTCTGCTGTGGTGGCTGAGTCCCCAGAGGTCAATTAAGTGTGCATGAAAGCCTTCCTGGAATATTGAATTTAGTATTGAAATCTGTGTGGTTAAGTGCTTTGCTTTGATACATGCTTCTCTTTGATGTACTGAACTTTGTTAGGGTTGAGACATGCTTCCGATGAGCAATATTGCACCAAATAAATGTGGTGTTTAGGGAAGGGTTTGGGGTTTTTTTTTTGCAATTGCAAAATTCCCATTCAGAAACACTAATAAAATACTGCAGGGTCTAATTAGTGTTTAAAAACAGTTTTCAAGCACTTATGCTGAGATCTGAATGCACAAAATACATTTTAGGTGTTGAAGGTGTCATTTATGCATTAAAAACCACTTTGGTTTTTTTTTCACTGAATTTTATTAGAGATCTAATTTCCTAATAAGTAGAGGCCAGGTATGTACATTTTTTAATTATTATCATTATTATTTCATCTGCTTCTTAAAATGATAATGGATTAGTTTTTGATCTGAAGAAGGCAGGTTTCTTTTCCTCCGTCACCTCTAAAGGCTCGTCCTATCTTCCAGTCTCCCCCTGTGTTTCCAGCTGGCTTTTGCCACCCTTAGTTCCACATTGAATTATTTCTCTGCAATTGTACCTCAGGTTTTAATAGTATAGCTTTGATAATGGGCTCTTTGGGTTTGCTATCAGTCCTCATTGTCTTCAGTCATGTGTTATCACTGGCCTTCTTTTTGTATTCTGCCTCCTTCAGCCTCTCTTTTTTCCTTCCCCTCCCCACCTTGCTTTCTCACATACATGTTATACAGCTGGTAGGCTTGTGCCAAATCTGAGGGCTTGTCAGTAAAGAGTGAGTCAGATGGCTCAGGTCTCCGCTTCCTGTCCCCTGCCAGGCTGAATGCAAAGCTTAACTGGCTGTAACAGCTGTGGTGCTCTGGAGCAGGGAACGAACAAAGCAATTCTTGGCTACCAGACATGCTGTTTTACTGACTTCTTATGTTTTGCTTTTGCAGACTGTGAAGAGCCAGATTCTGTATGAAGTTAGGGGTGTCTAATCAGGGTCCAGTCAGTGCAAAATCGAAATACTGGTGAGAAGTGGTAGTAGTGTTGCTTGGGAATAGTGGTGTTCTGGCACAAGGACTTTGGGACAGAACTGGGTGCATGCAGATGGTGGCACCCTCATCCTGGGGCTGTAAGCTGCTCTCAGAGGTCCTTTTTCCTCAAGGGTTAGTCAAATCACTGGCAATAGGTTTGGAATTATTTTATTTCGTAGTGTTAGGCTAGCTATTTTATACTTCTGGAGTGGCACATGCAACTACATGAAAGACTCGCAGTGAACTTTTGCTCAGGAAAGCATATGGGTGTTTTGGGTCTTCCTTTTTTTCCTTGCAGGAAACTTCATGCAAATCAGTGTTTCCATGGTCTGCTTCTCCAGTAAAAGGAGTTTTCCTTAGGATTGAGCTGGCTTTCAGTTGTGCAGCTTTACAGTTGATTCTGTTATACAACATGAAATAAAATGCATATATTAGAAGATATGCACTCTGAGAAAATACTTCAGTGTTTTAAAGTAATCTGGGAGAAGTATGCTAGCCCCCTGCCCTTAAAAAAAAAAATCAGAATAAATAGGAATTTTCTTGCTTTAAAAAAATCTTGACACATTCTCATCCAAACAC